TATTGTAAAAGAAATTAAAATAAAACTGTTAAGAGTGACATTAAATTTCATATTTCTTAAGAAAGGTATCTAATTAATTTATAGGCACCTTTCTTATGAAATTTTATCAGAATTGTACATAAAATACTATAAGTTTATGTACATTTATTACATTCTACTGTTATTTGTATTTGCATTCATTTTATTATTAATTTTGATATTTCATTTATGGAAAAATGTCGTAACTGAGATTAATATAAAAATAAGATCATATAAATTTCATAAGATGATACTGATACTTGTAGGTACCCTTCTCAGTTGAAATTGAAAAATCAAATTAACTTCTCCACACGTGTTTCGCAGTAAAAGTAAAGGCCTTTAACAGCGGAGAACAATGCTTAACTCAAATAACGCAACTTAATTATATTCTGGTTGGTCTTCCGTATTTTATAATTACAGCTCGATTATAAGCACATAATTACATTTCTTAATTACTGGGGATCTTCTGATTAGTCAAAATGATACAATTTACAACGCGCTAAAAAAGATCTATCTCATAAGGACACTTATGAAAAGCCGATCTTGCTTTTTTAACTAATTTTATAATATTTTAACAACTTAAATGTAAAATCTATTATAATTAATGAAATAACAAATAATTGTATTAAAAATTCATTTTTCATCGAAAAATTTTTTTTTTTTTTTCAGAAAATATTGTCCATATTCATAAAAACAACTAAAAGCAAATAAAAGCATTTGAAATTAAATAATATATTTGTTTTATTGAGTTTTGTATGTTACAATTCAGAGCTGATTTTCAGGTACTGCGTATCCAATTAAAAACAAAAAAAACATGATTTGCATTCCTCAAAGCCCTGTGCTTTTAATTATTGTAATCACTAAAACCGATGCGATCGAATTTCTAGCGTTTTCATAAAATTAGTTATGGGGGGGTAATAAATATTTTAAAAAAAATATTTCTACCATGACTTTCATAAAAAAAAACATATTTATAATAATTTCGATCATCTGTGAATAGTTTCTGAAAGTTTCATTAACATCCGATAATTATTTCTATTTTTGCACGATTTTTCAAATTAATGTGTGTCATACCAAAAAAACGTGCTAAAAATTGTCTATGTTATTTACTAGTTCCGCTGATACAAATAGAAAAAAGGTTTTTTTAATCAAAATTTAGAATGTTCTAAAAAGAAGGAAAATTTTTTAAAAATAATTAAAAAAAAAAACTTTGGTCTTTCCTCTTAATAATAACATAAGCATTTAGACAATAAAATTTAGTTTTCGGCAAGTTTGGCGTCTTTTTCATCAAGCTATGCTCTTTTTTTAGCGATTTCGTGGAGGTACCTATGTTATGCGTAAAACATAGTATTTATATCTTAGGTACATTAAACATGTTCTGTTTTTTTATTTTATTTTATGTTTTTAATGAGATTTATTTCTTTTAATGTTTATGGCTATGCACTTTTTTGCATGTTCAGTTTTGATGCAAGAGCTACATACATGTTTTGCAGACAAATCAATCTTTGCTATTGTGAATCTTTCTTGTCATATCCTTTTGTTAAATTCCTCATCTCAATATCTGTTATTCTTGAAATCCTTAAAGTGTCAATATTTATTCCATGTGGATAGATTTCTTCATATGAATCTGAGCCAGTCACCAAGATTGAACTATATCTTCTGTGGCATCTAGTCCAGTTATCTCTTGAGTTTGTTATTACCTCGAGATTAAATCATTTAAAATCTTGCTCCCCTTACAATATACAGCTTTAATTAATGGATTTATTTTTATTTTCTTATTACTATAAATATTATTTTAGTGGGTACATGTGTTTGAGTAGACATCTGGGATTTTTTTTTTTTTTTCAAGCAGTGAAATTTTCTACTGGTCAAGGAACGTTGGAAGGCATAAAGAAAATGGACCTCTTATCACCTACCATGGCAGAAATGGTAAAATTACACCTGGCTACAAGGTGGTTTTTATCAGGTAAAAAGGAAATGCAGGTTCAATTGCTGCTGAGAGATAGATCTTTAATAAAGCTTTTGATGCTTCTAGACCGGTAGGTATCACTTTCACTCTTTGCTAAAAACAAAACTGGGATATCAACTCAAACAGATGTACCCACTAAAAATAACATTTTTAGTCATAAAATATATAGTTTAAAATGTGCTATATTGATGGGGTAAAAATACTCAACTTGGGGGAATTTTATATATATATATATATATATAAAATGTGAGAGAAGCAGTTACAATGTAGTGATATCTCTGTCTACTCTATAGAGAATGATTCATTTAAAAATATTCTATTCTGAATGTTAGTAATTCTTAGTGGCAGATATCACTTTTACTAATTAAGTATATCCATTATTTAGTTGTTGTGGTGTGGCACATTGGGTTCCCCATATAATTGGCTGAACCCATACAAAACCAAGTAGGCCCTACATCATGTTATCAGTCAGAAGTTTTTAATGGCTGGAATAGAAAGTTTTTGAAGTCGTGTTCAAAGCTGGCAACCCACTTGAGCCATGGGGAAGATAACAATAAACAATAAATGAAAACATGGGGGTCAAGTGACACTTTGTTAGAAACTAGATGCTTTTATCTGCAGCCTTATATAAATAGAGTTCCAGTTAGAGCGGGACAGAGAGAGAGAGAGGAACTGGCTGTCCAACCAGTCACATCTGAAGCAGTGGCTTGGCAGAGATAAGAAGTGACCCATGTGCCACCCTTCTTACTGTCAGAGGGAATACTGGATCCAACAGAGAACTCCCACTGAAATAAACGCTATATTATTGAAAGTTATGTTTTCATTTCTTGCTGTTGATTTCATATTCTGTTTCTGTGTAGAGTCTTTTCCAGCCTTTGTACATACTGGTGCAGTGCTAACAAGAAGCGAGAAGCAAAATGTTATATGGGGGATTAACTTTTTTATGGTTGGTGAGAGACTGAGAGAAGGGTATGATGTTTACTGCGGCAGGCCTGGTTTATCTTTAAAAAATAAAACAAAAAACAAACAAACCTACTTTAATAAAAGCAACATATTTTACTCCATGCACCAAATCCAAATTCATACACTTTGTAAAACACGTGCTAGGCTAATCCTCAGTGAAATTACAACTGGCTAATTAGTACATCAGTAATCCTGTATGAGCTCAAAGAAACTTTTTTGAAAAACACAAGTTTGCCAGTCTCTCAGCCAAATTTTGCCACAAGCCTATATGCTTACACCTCAGTCCATATATATAAGATAAAAATATGGAACCAAAACTCAATAGCAGCAGTTTTGACTTGCTGGACTAGCCAAAAAAAAAAAAGAAGACTCTCTAGAAATGACCAGTACATATTCTTTAGAACTTTGGCATATGTCTCTGTCATAGATTTTTATTAAAACTTCATCAGAGAATGAGATATGGCATAAGAAAGGAATTCTGGCATTTGTATGTTCTTGAATCCTGTTCTTTTATTGTCCTTTCTTCTAAATAAAGTCTTCTCATTCTCTTTCACTGCCAGTAATCCCTTGTGTCTTAGTGGCATTATTCCCTTGGGATGAAATGATTTAAAAAAACAAAAAAGAAAACTTTCTATTATATGTGGTATTATACACATCCATTATCATACATACATGTATAAGCGTTTTTTTTTTTTTTTTTTGTAGAGTTAGGACTGGGATTAATCTCACATAAAGGTGGGTACTGCCTAACAAAGGATTTGTCATGATGATTTGAGGAAAGGTTTTAGAAGGACGAATGCATTTCTTTGCACCCAGCTTGGTCATTCACGGTAGTTCAAGTACACCAAGTGTTTTTATTGAGACACTATCTGTAGGAAAATTACCATTCAAGGCTTGAGACCCTATCCTAGGCTTTTATATGTTGCCTGTTGTCTATTATAAGAAGCTCATCTGCCCTTTGACAGTGTTTTTTTTTTTTTTTTTTTTTTTCCATTCTGTGGGGTGACATCCCACCCACCTCATCAGTGGGGGAACTGGTTTAGATGCCAATTTCCCATCAATGTGGTAGGTTGTACTGAGTTACATGTTACCAGTAGCAGGCCTGATCTTACTGAACATAATTTCCATCTTACAAAAAATAAATATGTACACTAATTCTCTGATGTTAAGCCATGGAAATATATTTAGTATCATTTGTGAAAGATGTGTGCTGGATTTATTGATTAAAGAGTATTGAATTAGTATGCCTGTTGTCATGTTTTATTTTATATAATGTGTCACACAAATTGAGTAAGAACACACCTTTATAGGTAATAAATATTTAATTAACAAACAAGAGGTTGATATATCAAATGTTTTAATGCTTTATTCAGCTTCCACTTCATTTTGCTTGGTGTCATGTTGTCAGGATGAAACAAGACAGTTTACAACAAATCACAAAAGGCTTACGGTTATATCACATTTAACCAATTGCTGAGCCCATTCAACAGGCAGATACTGTATGTGCAGGTGGTATAATAGAAAATAGTTCAGAATCTGGAAATAAGAGCCAAGTTTTAATTCCAGTTAGGTTTGTTATATTCACTTATATGCAAATACCCTTGGGAGAGGCATGAATCCACATCTTCTCTCCCTCCCCCCATCTATGGATTAATTAGTAGGACGTGTATCATTCAATCCTTATTATCTCAAAAAAAATATTCTTATAATCTGAAAATATTTCCCAACTTTAAATAACCTGGAAAAGGTTGATAAACCATAAAAAATAGATCAATCAATCACAAAACATAAAAATAGAACTGCAGTAAAATATGACTGCTTATAATTTTACTAAAATTGATCATGATAGTTTGTGAAGGTATTCAACTAAATTTACAGCAGTGAAAATATTTGTATCAGAATTGTCTAGGTTGAATTTTGTACATTCTTTGTTTGGAAATTACTTTCTAAATAACTTCTAGGAATTATGGTGGGGATGTTGTTTTCATCAAAGTAAAAACATTCTTTAAAATTATTTTGCTGTTTTGATTATATTGATATTTTATTGCAGGATAAAAGGCGAATTACAATTAACCTTGTTCATCAGCTTGAAGCCCGATTGATGTTGGTTAAGTCTTGGATTAATGGAAATGAAGATCAATTGTCAAAGGACATTGAAAATGGTAAGTTCTTTCATCAATTTCAGTTTTTAGCCATGTTTTTTTTTTTTTATTATTGTTGTTGCAATATTTTCATCAGGAGATTTTTTTTTTTGTTTACCAATTTTTATAGCCCTCTTTAGGAGTTCATGTTATAAATAATGTCTGAAATCTAATACAAATAGGCCAAATAATGTTTTTCTATTTTAAAATGTCGAAATGATATCTGTCTATATTTCTGAGATGAGGTATTACATACATTGTTTACATTTGGACTATTGTCCTCATCTTTGTCGCCATATTTATTGCAACATTTCGGCCGTTGTATGCTCTGGCCTTCTTCAGGTAGTTGGAATGTCGAACTGAACCCTTTATTTCGCTAACTCAAGGTCACATGCCACAGTGGATAAAGGTGTTAGTTAGATCCAGTGACACGACCCAAAGAGTGTGAGTTCAATACCCGGCTAAGGCAGTGGAGAACTTTCAGAGGGAAATTAACAGGAGATAACTGATAACTGACATCCATTAAAACAGGGCACGTGGAACTAGAACAGTCTGTCCCAGTGAGCGAAATAAAGGGTTCAGTTCGACATTCCAACCACCTGAAGAAGGCCAGAGCATACAATGGCTAAAACATAATAAATATGGCGATAAAGATAAGGACAATAGTCTGAATAATGTAAATAATGTCTAAATGATAACCTAGTCATTTAAAACTGTATTGTTATGTGGCTATCATACAGTTCAGCTTAGATGTTAACTTTCATAAATCTTGGTGAGACTACACAACACATAAGCCTTGTAAATCTTTGTTGGCTTAAGAAAAAGCTGAATGTGTCTACAAGGGCACATAATGTTCTATTATAATTTAATTAATGCTTAAATATTACAATATATTATATTACATACATTAATTATAATGCAATTAATATGTGTAATGCTCTGTTATTTGGTACCTTGCTTCCTTTTGTGGACAAAATGGCTGATGACAAATAGAAGTCCCAACAAGACAATGTTCCAAACCAGAAAACATATCATGAAGTTTATGAATTATTGGATGGAGGTTGTTGATAATGATGGAACTTTTGTTGTCACAGAATAAAATTTAATTAAACATGAATTTTTGATATTTTCTTTGTCTGACCCTTAATTTGGAGATTACTTATTGGATGGAATGATGCAAATTAATGCAGATAATAGTATGAGACAGAAGCTAAATAAAAACATTACAATTGGCACTGTTTTACATTGATGGATAATAAGTGTTAGAAAAATGAAACATTTGACATTGTAATTTGAATCATTCTGTACTTCGGTGATTCTGAAATCTTCCTTCTTATGGCCACATCACGTTGAAACACTGTTTTCTTTACAATCACTGGAGTTGAGCAACGTCAAGCCTGGTCAGTACCTTGATGGGTTTGGGAATACCAAGTGCTGTAAGCTTGGATATGTGGTTGATGAAATGGATAATGGCTTGGAATTATTAATCGGAGAGCTGAATTCCAATTCCAGTTGGGTTCATTATATTCACTTACACACAAATATCCTTCAGAAAAGTATGACTCCACTTCTTTTCCCCTCAGCTATGGGTTAATTTGTAAGACTTGGTATTACTCAATCATTATTATCTCCCCTACCCCCAAAAACAAAATAATCTAAAAATAATTTCTGGCTTTACCCAATCCTCCCTATTCTCATTCTTCTCTTTCACTTTCACTCCTTGTTACTTCCCTGCATACTAGTGGCATTCCCACCTTCCTTGGGCAGAAATGATTAAAAAAGAAAAAAAAAATAACCTGCAAAGGGTTGGTAAGTCATAGAAAATAAATCCATCTAGCCAAAATATTCCAAGATTTAGAATATGATAAATTTATTTATCATTCAATTTTTACTTTTGTTGTGAAATTGTCAATTAAAATCATTTGAATAGTAATCTTTTAAGTAAAATAGCAAAATGGGAAATAAAATTGGTTTAGTGAAAAGCTGTTTTTCTTAACTATAAAAGCATCAAATGACATTCTGTACATCAAATATACATATATACTGAAATAGTTACGGGTTTTTGTACTGACCAGCATAGCCTTTAAAAATGTTTTCTTTAAAACTTTCTAGATGTCTTATTTTTGTACACATAGGCTTGAAATAATAATCTGACTAAAAAAAGATAAAAAAGTTGTCAGCAGATTTGGTCCAAGCTTTTCAAGTGAAGTTTATTAATTTATTTATCAAATGCTGACTTTCAGTTTTTATTTTGTATTTTTTTGTTGTCCTCAGTTGGTCTTGTGAATAGATTAATGGTCCTTGTTTTTAAATTCTGAATTCTAACCAGTTTTAATTTCAAGTGAGTTTAGCTTTTAACTTGGTCATGTGTTTATCTTTGTTGATAATCACATTTTTTTTTTTTTGTGTCTGTCTCTTTCTCTCTCATATATACGATGAAATATAGGTTTTAAGCTATGCTGTATGTATAGGAGAAAAGTGGTCAATATCAGGGACAGGGCATATATGAATAAAAAGTGTCGACATAAATATTAACACTGGACAGTGACAATATATTTCATGCTTAAATTGGCAAACAAACTGATGGCCTCACAATTGCATCTAAGCATGAAACAAACTGTCACCATCCATTGTTAATACCTATGTCCACAATGTTACATACATGCGTGCACACACACACAAAACCCAAAACAAAGATATTACCTAAAAATTTAGAAAATTTGTAACACTAACTCATGTGGGAACTTTTGCTACTGCCTTTTTAGAAGCCTGTGCTCAAGGAGACTATTTTGAAATTGAAAGATAGGTGTTATAGTAATTAAATTATTTTTTTTCTATTAAATGGTCAAATTTCTTTCATTTTTGGATAGCATCGTGTGTATATATTTTTTCTGTATGTATTTTATTGGTTGGTGTTTCTAGTAATAAATAATGTCCTGGGTATGATGATTAACTATATCTGGCAGCAAAGTCTTTGATTGGGAGATTGGAAGTTTGGAGGAGTATGGAACCACCTCAAAATTGCTGTTGTTTCCAGGTTCATCCTGACCCAGGGTGGTAGCACCTATTAGGGCTCTATGGACAGATAGGCCCCCCTCTCACCAAAACTAGTGTCAAAACACTATGAAAGTGTAGAGATACATTTTTATAGTGAAGGTGCTAGTAATACATTTTCATAGTAAAAAAAATTACCAGCAATACATTTTTGTAAATGAAATTACTAGTGCTCACAAGGAAATTAAATTTCGGTATTAAGTGACCCATAAGGATATGTCGTTAAACAAACAAAACAAACAAATAATAAATGTTTTCTTTTATGATGATCTTGTCAGGTTTTAAATGCATTTAAAAAAAATTTTTTTAACCAAATTCAAAATATTCAGTGTGTGTATATATAAAAAAATATGTGACAGACTTGATGGAGCTGGTAATTCTTTTCTCAGTCTGCTTTGGCAGCCTGTGGTGTATAGATTAATAATAATATTTTCTGTTTGATCTTGAAAAATTCTGTCAGTAAATATTATTAACAATTAAAAAAGAAAAAGAAACCCAGTTTTATAATGTTTAACTATCAAACTCTTCATTCAGTATAACATTTATTTAAGCTATATTCAAAAATATTCACAGCAAAGATATTCTTCTTTTCTTGTTTTTTTTTTGTTTTTTTTTTTTTTTAAAACCTGACAAAGTAATGTAAAACCTGGAAGTAAAAGTAAATGAGAAGATTAAAAATAGGGTAGATTGAGAAAAGGGTAAAAAAAAAAAGGAACATGCTTCAAGAAAGTAGAAGATGGCGATTGATGTTGCATTTGAATTTTTGAAGATTGTAGTTATCAGGGAAGCAAAAAATCACAAGTGAGTTCTGCAAGTGGAAAGTGTGATCCCTCCTTTGGCATTTATTACCTCTTAGCAGCAAATTTTCAGTTTGATTCCTGAAGAATTCTTCATTAGAAATATATAAACAATAAATTCTAGGTATGTTCACTTTGATCCTGATTGAGGAAATTCTTGCCTCTAAGCAAGTCAGCTAGGTGCTTGAAAAATTGCTGATCCATAGAAGAAAGTTGGGTGACTGAGCAACGTCTAATGAATTTCATTTTCAACTGATTCCATGTATTGTTTTTGCAACATGATGGAAGACGTTTTAGCCAAGTACTTGACTACTATTTGAATGTTCTATTTCCATCTGGTCTATGCATTGTTTGATGATTTTCAAGGAAACTGATGTCTGAAGTCACTCCTATTCTACCAAATACTCAACATGACCTCGCACAAATGATAACCTGATTCCAATATCAGCTTTTATCCTGCCACCCATTGATGACATCTTTTCTGGTTATGCAAGGTCCTTTTTTTTTTCTTGAATCAATATATATTGATGAAAAATCATTAATATAAGCCTTTATATATTTTTCTTTAATTCTATTCAAATGAAATATATTTATTAAACTTTTTTCCTTTTTATGCTAATCACTGTTAAATGATTTGAAACAGTTACAATGAGTACATTAATTTGATTGCAAGTTCTCTGAATGAGGTTTATGGATCATTTTCCTCCATAATCTTTAAATGTTTATTATTGTTTGATTGGTATAGTTTCTAAACATAGATCTCTACTTTCCATATTTTTTTCCTTTCTTATTAATGGTATTGTCCCGAAATAGGAAATTTCTACTTATTCCTCTTTTTAAGTCCTGCAAATATAAAATGTAAAAAATTGTTTTTGATTGAAATACAAAATGTGAAAATTTAAAGGAAATGATAGAAATTCATTTTTGAAATATTTCCATAAACTTAATGTAAAATCATAAAGTGTAATTTTTTACTTTTCTGTAACTAAGAATGATGTTTCATTGTTCTGACATCAGTGAATCATTTTACATATATTGATTGTATAATGATAATTTGAAATAGTGATATTTTGTACTTGTGCTACTGTCATTCACTGGGTAGATGAGGGGGAGGGAGAGACAACATGATACTCTATGTTATTGAGGTTGTCTGTACATTTGACTTTTCAG